TGAGGGGGGGGGGGCTGTTAAAGCAGAAAAATTCATGGAGTCGGTATAGGTTCAGTCGGGGGGAGCAGAAGAGGGATCATTGAATGTAGAGGGGGGACAATCTTGTGTGGATTTGGAAGAAAATTGATAAAAAGGAATGGAAAGAGAAAATAGAACGGGGAAACCACTTATTTTTGCAAAGAAGCTTCCGCTATCCGCAGAGAGTTTGAAAACAAAGAAGAGAAGTTAATAAAATATGAAATGAGGTAACAAAAAAGTGGGTGAGGGAGAGAAAAATCAAAAGTGTTGATCCTCAAATAACAAAAAAGAAAACAAAAGAAAAGTTGGGGACAAATAAGGATAGAAAAAAGGAACGGGTGGGGAGCAGAAAATGAGAAGGGAAACAATGTCCTACCACGAATTAGACGAAAATTGACCGGTAGAAGACAAAAGAGGTGGCTAGTTCGCTAAGGGTAGAGTATCCAAAACACTCTTATAACATAACAAAACAATTTTTTCTCGGGTGGAAAATAACGAAACGGAAGTGGGTGATGAGAAACCGACTGAAAACAGCACGGGTTAGGAAATGTATTACGCATTCTAGAAATATGCCGAAAGGAAAGTACTATAATGAATATGATATAATGAAAAAAGAAGTAAATCATGTGGTTAGAAGAAACTGCGGATCTCAGTTGGTCCGAAAGTTATCGTTTGGAGAATGAGCATCGTTCCACCAGAGAGAAGACCTGAAACAAACGGATTATAATCAGGTGTTCGCTATAGCTATGAGCGGCCAATTTTGTCTCGGATCAACCCTTTGTTAGCTTAAACAATTATGCTTTTTCTCTTTCAGGTCGAATTGTATTCATTCAAATGAGAAAGATATCCAAACACAGATTGTGTATTGAATAAAGTTTTTGAAAAATGGTTTCATAACTTACCAGCAACTGGAAGAGTGACTATCCAAGATAGCGAGATGTTACGGAAAACTCCCCAATGAACCTGGTTCTTGGATTGAAGAAGTCCGACGGCAACAACAGATCCGACCTTAAATAAACAATATAATTATTGAAACGCTTTCGAATTTTTACTTTGCATTGAGTTGATGAATTGGGAGTCCGCATTTCGATGCAATCAAAACGGTAACCGCAGCTCCAAACTCGACGGCAAATCCGGATGCTGGTGTGATTTTTGTGAGGTTCTCTCCGACGGTGTAGATGACACGATGCCCCAAGACCCAAAGACCGAGACACATTCCGATGGATCCGTAGAGAAGAATGTACCATGGAGTCTGCAATTGATCAGCTCCCATTCCGTGAGATGCAATCAATACTAATGAGACGAGTGGGGCAACAGCATTGCTAACGTCGTTTCCTCCATGAGCGAATCCTCCGAAACAAGCAGTCATAACTTGAAGAAGTGAGAAGAGACGGGATGCTTGTGGGTCTTCTGGTTTGCAGGAACGGAAGAAAGAAGCAAGAGAAGATGCCGGGCGGATGGTGTTTTTCGGATTGGCAAAAGAAGATGAAGATTCTCCGTTCGATGGACAAGTGCTGACGACGATAGTGGGCTGATCAAGAAGAGCAGCTTCTGAAAATAATGTTTTGCTCGGAACTTGAGTTGCAAATCCTTACTCTGTTGTTCATCATTGGTCTTCATATCGTTCAACTTTCCTTCTTCTAATTCCATTTCCTTCTGTTTCAAACCATTTTTATCATGATGATGATGGTGATGTCCGTGACGCTGCTTTCCAGTCATTTCAAGAAGTTCTTTGCCTGAAAACCAAGTTTTATCTCAATTCATAAAACAAAACACAACTCGACCAGCTGTAAACTAAAGAACTAGAACAAAAACAAAACAAAAAATGACATTCGTCAAGAAACGATAAGGCAACTGTTTATCAGTGCCTTATATCGACAATGGCTAACCTCATACTCCAAATCTTAAACATACTCAAGATATGATCCTTGAGGTAAGGAGCCAAGAAGAACGCGAAGACGAGAGCAACAACCAGTCCGACGAACGAGGAGATCATGAGGCATTCAATGAGTGTGAGTCTGTCCAGATAGAGAACTGAAAATGATTAGTTAAAGCTCTGTTTTGGGTAAATTGCTCATTTATTACATGACGGTCCATTGTAAACGATGGCGAATACGTTGAAAGCGAAACAAAGGAAGTAGAGAACCGGCAAAACTCGAATTCCACTGTGCAATGGCTCTTTCTAAAATGAAGATGTTCAGTAAAGCTCGTCATAGAAAAACTGCTTACACGACGCAAAACCAAATGATCGAGGGTGCTGTAGATGATTACAGAAGTTAGTCCTGATAGAAGTGGAGAGACAATCCATGATGCGACTAGAAAACAAAACCACTTGAATATTGCTTCAATCCCTGCTAAATAACTTACAGATTCTATAGACTTTTGACCAAGTGACAATGTTGACTCCATCAGCAACAAAAGCAAATCCAATAGTGGCTCCGACAATAGAATGAGTTGTAGAAACGGGCAACTTGAATGCAGTCGCCAACAACATCCACACACCGCATCCGGCAAGGATTGCGATTTGTCCCAACATGATCATTTGGTCGAAGTTCTCCGCGCGTAACTGTGGATCAATGCTTGTAGCGTTCATGTAAATGTCTTTGAATTGCATGATGTCGACTACGCCTTTACGCATGGTGTCTGTTACTTGGTGACCTAAATATTATAGCTTACTTTAACATCTTCCAAAAAACTATAAACTTGAAACATACCTAGCAGACATGCTCCAAGAGTTTCGAAGATACTGGCCAAAACATACGCTTGATGAAGAGTCAACACCTACAAATTTTTGAGATGAAATCTTCATTATTGAAATATGAAAGTTTTCCACAAACCTTGCTTCCGACAGAAGTTCCGAACGAGTTCGCAGTATCATTGGCACCGATGGCAAATGCCAAAATGAATGCTATGACAGCTCCGATGGCAACAAGAACTGGAGCAATCATTTTTGAATCTGTTCTGAAAAAAAGAAACAATTTTAGAAGAAAGCTTCATGTGAAGAGACGGGAGGAATGAAGGAAACAAAAAGGCGCTGTGTTTATCACCAGCGAATTTTTGCCGCCGACAGCTGATGGTCTCTGATAACAGTCCAAATTTGTGCCAGAAATAAACAATCGTTATCTTTTGAGCCTATTACCACTCATTTCCCTTTTTCCATGTGATCATTGTGGCGTCACCTATATGTTTTTAATGTACCTTTTGACGTAAATGGTACTTTCGGTATGCTTTGTAGTATCGGTTGGTATGCCTAGGTGGGCGGAATTAGAAAAAGGACACAAAATGAAACTATCTGCGTCTCGTTTAATGACAATCGCTAATATTTAGAGAGGTTAGAAAAAAGAAGGAAAGCCGCTCTAAATTCAAATAAATGATACTAGGCTGAACGAACTTTGATTCGACTACAGATCGGTAACGCGGTAAGAAAAAAGATAAGACTGAGCGATTTTTATCTGAGCCTTCTGGAAGAAACTCGCGTTTCCAGATGGTACAGCTCAAAGAGCTGAGATTTATTTCCTCTTTACTCTAGTCGGTAATCTATGATCTGAACATCGCACATTCTTTAGGCAGTGAACATAAACTTGTTGAAAACTAACCAGAAGATAACCTTGATATCCGTAGGAAGAATTGAGTCAACTTGGGTTGGGATGTAGAGTTGCGGTGGCTCAGCAGGGCCCTTCGCCTTTGGTTTAGGCGAAAACGGTGACAAGACGTGAGAAGACTCGCCGAACGTTAAACGATACGAGACGATAATTACCCCTGAAACATCGGAATTTAATAACGTACGATAAGTTCAGTTTGTGCAAGAGAAGAAGCGAATGTGAAATAAATATTTTAAAAATTCCTAACAGACAGATCGGAATGAGGAAATTAAAGAAGAGGGGTTTGGAAAACGGCGAGTTCGGACAATTCACCGACATCATTATCACGATGTCTGTCCGAGACAAAGTGTGAAACGTCCGCTCCCGCCTACATCTGAAGATTTCCGCGTTGGTCTGTGATGGATGTTACCACTCAAAAAAAATGTGATAAGGGGTGAGAAAATGAAGGCTGCATTGCAAAAGGATTTTTCTAACTGGTTGTTCTCTAGTGAATTACTTTTTGGTCTCTTGTCTTATCTACAATTCTACGTAAAAACACTGAACGCAGAACATTTCCGCTCTTCGGGTAAACATAATGCAAAAAAAAAGAAATAAGGATTTAGGTCTGATGGATAGGTTTAGGAGATTGAATGAATGGGAAAACGAATATGGCAGCCTTTCGAAGGTTTCGATGCAAGCACCAACCCTGATCGTGCAGAATGACATCAGATATTTACAGAGCCTAAACTCTGCTTCTAATTGTCTCGTCAAAAATATTTTGACTCGTGATTTTTCCTGGACATCGACTTTATACATTGTCGCTGAGTCAACAGAAAACATAAATATTTCGAAGCTGATGATTTTGGTTCGAAGGCACATGTGTTAAAAGCAGAAGAGAATCTCCGTCAAGGTCCAGAACGAACGTTCAAGAAATGCCCACCCATTCCACCCATCTGCGCGGATGCAACTTTTCAAAAAATAAAGTGTTCTTTGTTTGCTCGATGTGCTGCGACCCAGGATTTATTAACAGTCGCACACTGTAATGGTTGGGCAGGGCAAAGGACGCAAAACGAAGAAAAAGAACAAATTTGACAACGAGATTGACAAATCAAGTTGCAGAAGAAGAAGAAGAAGCCCAAATGCTTTCACAAAGAAAAAATGAGATGAGAAAGCTCGGGAGTCGCCTGAGGAGAAGGGTTTTCTAAAACGGAAAAGAGAGGGAAAGTATGGAGAAGACTATGCCGGTTAGAAGATTCAGCGTCCCATTCTCTACATTTTTCAATAAAAATTCGAAGGTTGAGTAACATAGAAAAGCTATTCATCGATTACAAAGGTGATATTGCATGGGGAAGGAGAAGAAGAATCGGACGTACTCTGACGCGATGGGTGGGGTGTAAACGGTGCTCCTTTCGTCGCTCCTCCGTCAAATGTCAAAGAATACGAGACGCAGATTCAGCGGCCGGGGAGAAACATATCCCTATGACCTATTGGTGAAGTTCACGAAAGATGCACGGGTAGAAAGAAGAGGAAGAGAAAGGAGCAATCAATTTAAAATGGAAGAAGAATGAAAGGACAGAGAGAATCTACTCATTTTCATCCACTTTCTTTTTTTCACTAAATCTTTTTTGAAGAGACTTCGAAAAAAGATTGGATGCGTGCCAAGTTCTAGCAGAAAGGGTAATGGAGAATTCTTACAATGACTCGGCAGGATGTAGTGGCCTGTAAGGTAACTTTGGAGGTCACAAGTTCGTTGCAGGCGTCCACTATTTCATAACCTCAAAGCTGCGCCCAAAGATTATTGCTCTCATGACGTCATGATGTCTGGGATGAAGTTTTTTCTCAACTTTCGAAAAACTTTTTGATAACGAAAGCATTAGGCAAGTGCGGAAATTCTATAAAGCCTCTATCTGCTTCTCTCACGAAAACAGGAGAATATTCGATCGCTTGAAAGATCACAGACCAACATATTTCTAGGGAGCTTAGAGTGAAAACAAGGCATGAAAAAGTGAGGTTTTTCGAATGCGTCCAAAACTAGCAAAAATTTTGAAAACAAGACAACTTGATTTAGATTCCGGGAAGGATAAACTGGGTCCACAAAAACATGAAAATCTTGTGGCACAGTTTATTACAAAGCGCGGCATGAAGATCGGGAGGAAACGGAACCAGCACAAAAAATGAGGTGGTAACCTAAGGCACGGGGTGAGGAACTTGCGAAGGACATTTTGGGCCAAGGTGCGCACAGAAAAAATTGTTCACCAAAGACGATAGGGAAAATTCGTTGTGAGACCCGAAATGATGCAACACGCCCAGATGCCGAAAGTGCAAAGTGAAATGAGAGATGAAGGAAGTAGAAGAGACGTTCTACGGTAATATTTCATTGCTGATGCACTTTCTTTGTTCTTCAAATGTTGCTGTACTGGGTACTGATTGGAAAGAAAACTGGACTGTTGAAATTAGGAACATTAAAACTGACCGAGATTTGATGAAAACGCTCACTTTTATATGTTGAAAAAGAGTGCAATCAACAATATTCTGCCATCATCCGTCTATTTTTAGAGGGATTTCGAGCGCTTTCAGTCTGGGAAAAACTAGAAGAATTTCGAAATTTGGAAAAAAATCAGAGAGATCGAAAATAGACAGGTGCCCTTGCAGACACTGCTCCAAACAGAGTTGAGTCAGAATTTCGAGAGCTTTTTGAACACCGCCTAGAAAATTCGAACGAACGGAGAAGTAGCTTTTTGTTGCCATCTTCAAAGACTTGATTACATAACCAAGTGATTGTTAGTAGCCGATATAATAGTTTACGTGCGATTCGAAAAGAAAAACTGAGAGAAGATGCAAAAAAAATGAGACGCGAAGCTGCTCGAACAGCTGGTAGAACGGCGCAAGAGAGAAACTCTTGGCGGGCCAAGAAGAAGAGAGAATCTTCGCGAAATGAGAGAATATAACAAAAAGTATCCTCTTCCTAAGTTTAAACATCAGAAGTTTGATAAAAAGTAAATAATTTTCTACTAGTTCGAAAATAAACTCGTGGTGGGCACAGCTCAATGAGGTGGTCTTTCCCAGTGTTGGTGACTGGGGTCTGGATGAGAGACTAAGGAAACGATGGAGAGTAGACTTGTTGGCATGAAGCCAAGTGCGACGAAAAAAGAGAAGGGAGCGAGAGGAGTAGAGGGCGCAAGTAGAAGAAAAGCCGAGAGACGCGCGGCGACGAAGAAGGGGATGCTCCAAAATGATCCACTGCGAAAACGGACAAAAATAATTCTGTCGCTTCAAAATAGGCAATCGAACGAGATGCGAGCACATGGGACACAAGAGAATTTAATCTGTTTTTGAAACAGCCCTATCCTCACATCACACACCAAGAATGCTCCTAACAGAAGGATGTTTAGAGCAATTACGAGCGAAGCCTCTAAAAAACATTTAAGTGAAGAATTTCATGGTTCTTCGGAAAAGGGAAGGGTAAAAAGTAGAAAGTAGATGAAAATCGAATTGGGAAAGAAAAATTTGAGCGATTTCCAAAAATCTGCACATTCTCGTGGGTTACTGTAGTCTGATGCACTTAATTTTACGACAAATCACGAATTCTGAAGTTTCGATGAAAAAAAAACAGTATTTCTGCAGCACAACTAATATCAAAAGACTTATTTGTTCAAAAACAGATTTTTCGATTTGTTTTCTTGATTTACGGAATGGCAAAATAGAGAAAAACAATGAAACAAGAAACCAATCTCTAAAATTCTATTTCACATTTTGAGATCGTGTCGAGACCTTCCTCATTTCGAGGATGTTCCTTTAAAATGTTATCGTATCATTCTTCGAATCGCAAGGTGTTGACACGACAAGTGCGAAAAACAAGGTAGTTGTTTTGTTGCACTCTGCAGAGTTCTGTGAACAGAATTTTCGAAAATCCAAATAGTTGTTTTTTGTATTTAGCCAATTACTCAAAAACCACGAAATGGATGACAGGTTTTCGTGTCATCATTTGAAAATTCGAAAAAAACTATGTATTTGTATTGTAAACTCTGACTTCAATAGATCTCGTTTAAAGCTCAAGACATATTTATATAACCAAACAATAGAGAATCATCTTTCACAATTCCAGAACCATTCCGTACTTCTCAGCATGTCACTTCTCAACTGCTATGGTCTTCCGGAGGTACTTCAACGCGGTGACACGCCCAATGAACAAAGGTTGGTTCTCACTTTCTGAACGGCACGATTTGTCCTATTTGACCCATTTGATTTTCTGGATTCGGTGGAATCACCACTAGGCGAACATTCAATCATCCATTATGAATATCTTTTCTGTATTTTTAAGCATTTAGTTTTCTTCGTGCCGAACCCCTAGAAAATTCCAACGTCCGACAGGCTGTCAGTCAAAACCTTCACAACTCGTAAAATTGTGTCAACTATTCGTTGTTCTCATTCTCCTAGTTTCAATTTTCACCAAAGTCTTAGAAGACAGAATTCTGAATCCCATCTCGAAATGTAGGCAAAATGAACAGCGTCCTATCTGACTGAAATCCTTTTTCTAACCGCTTGAACGCAATGTTTGAATTTGAATTTCGTGATTTAATAGGTGCCAATTCTCAAAAGGTTGGAATTTGAAACCGTCTGGCGTCACCCATTTGATTTGATAATTAGATGTCACCGTATGTACTTTTTGTATGCTTAGGTCATGCACTTCAATGGTCAAAATTCAAATTTCGAATAAATCCAGTATGGAGTTGGCTCATATTCTCGGTCACTCAATTATGCAGAACGTGAAGTGTATTGGCGAAAACCAGAATTATTATTCTGTACATTCGGGTTTCTTTTGCGCCTTCCGGTCATTAAGAATTTGCAATTCGTTTTGCAGAATCCATCACTTTTGTAACATAAAAAAGTTCCGATGTGTGTAGTACCTTTGGCCTGCAAAATTTTGCACAAATCGTAATCGCTATGAGTCACTGCGAGTTTGCAGTACAAACAGATAGAATGTTTGAATACGGTCCGTCTGAAGGGAAAAAGTGATTCGATTCATTTGATTGGAAGAAATTACGGTAATCTCCTCGCACATGTTTTAATGAATACTTGACGATTATAAAAAAATGAACCAGGAGTTTTGAAGAATATGGAACTTTGAAGCTGTTCCTCCAATTAGTTTCCACTTTGAGCATACGATTAACTTCGTTTTCCTCACACCCATCCTTTTTCATGGGCGATTAATTCACAGTTCATTCGCTGGGTCCCTTGTTGTCCTCCCGCTTCATGCCTGCTCATTATCAAATCCTCACTGGCACACAATTCATGCCCTCCATTTCTCTCACCCAATCTATGTCTCCTCATCCCTCAACACTATATTCCGTCCATCCATTTCAACTGCTACCTATTCGTATCTCCGCCTCTTCAATCTTTATGGTCTCTAGTTCGCCTCGTCCCCAAACGCATGATGTTCATTGTGTGTGTGTCTCTTCTCTTGCTGTTTCTTCAGGGGCCAACTGCGTGAGAGAGTGCCGCGCCACAGGCTATCCATCATCAAAATTCGCTAATTTCCCACTAACCACCAACACCTAAATCCTTTTATTCGTTCTCGGAACCCTCTGATTCGATCTGGAAATCCAGGTAATATCTCCGAAATATCTCGTAAATCTGTCAACGCGTCTTTTGGAGAAAACGGAATTCGGAACCGGGAATTTAAAAATAGGGACAACATGCAATGTTTTGTTGCGATTTCATCACTGAAATTCGTAGAGTCTTCGATTGTTTCGTAACCTCTAAAATACGCCCATCCATGCTGCTATTGTTTTTTCGAAGAAAAACGTGAGCTAGAAAATTCACCACTCGTCCAGTGTCCTGCTGTTCACCGCTAGCACTTTTACGACTCATTAAAGTTCGCAATCTTCTTCCTTTCATTCTCATTCTATTGCAGATCGAAAATTCTACCATCCACTCCACGGAAAACTTCACCGCCTTCTGGCGCCATTGTAACTGCCAGTGGAGACGAAAAGAGGAAAGATTCTCAACCGTTGTTTGCAGTTATGGCCAGCTTTCTCGATTTTCTGCAAGTCAATAAGCACAAGGTTAGCATTTTTGGGAAGTTCCCCTTGGTTGCAATCATTTATGTGAGAAATCTCCTCTCCAAAACCATAGTGTTTACCTTTAAATATAAACATTCACATTGTCTTCTCATGTTGAAAAATTAAAACAATGCATTATTTGTAGACTTTCCGACCGAGGAAGAAATTCCCACAAGGCACACTCCGTTACAGTCTCCACAAACAAGCTGAAGCTACATTGCATTCTGGAGTGGATCTTCGACATGCTGTCAAATTGCCGCCAAGTGAGAATTTCGACGATTGGCTCGCTGTTCATAGTAAGCTCAGTGAAAACAACAACATCATTGAAACCATTACTATTCAGCTGTGGACTTTTTCAATCGTATCAACCTGATGTACGGTACAATTTCGGATGTGTGCACTTGTGAATCATGCCCAACAATGTGTGGAGGTTCCCGATACGAATATTTGTGGCAAGATGGGCTGGAGTACAAGAAACCCACAAGGCTCCCTGCTCCTCAGTATATGCAGGTTTGTTTGTCTCTCTTGGAAACCTGATACGCTTATACTCTATCTTTTTGCACCCTTCCCTCTATAGTATGTTTTTGTAAACGGATACATCATGGTTATTTCAGCTGCTAATGGACTGGATCGAAGTTCGTATCAATGATGAGAGCATATTCCCTTCTAGTACAAGTGAGTCTCTGATTCTAAATAAACACATAGCATCACAATCGTTTTCAGATGTGTCGTTTCCAAAGGATTTCCGTCAGATTTGTAAGAAAATTTTGACTCGCCTGTTTCGTGTTTTCGTCCACGTCTACATTCATCATTTTGATCGGATTCGGGAATTGGGCGCCGAGCCACATGCCAATACACTTTACAAGCATTTCTACTTCTTTGTTACAGAGTACGGAATGGTTTCTGCTAAAGAATTAGAAGCATTGGTGAGTTATTACTAGTGATCCGATGTCTTTATATTCAATTTTTTCAGAAAGACATGACCGAACGGCTTCTGGAGCCATCAAACCGTCGCGCGCCAATCCCATCTGCAAATGCTTTTCGGCAGTGATCAGATTCAATATTCTATCAGCTCTCTTCCAAAAAAATCCCAGTCATTCTCGGTTGTGAACCACCATATTGTTTTGACTCGTGTAATTTAGGTACAACTTTTTCTTGCTTTCTCGCTCTCTCACTTCTATTTTCATCTTATTAAACTTTTTGTATGTAATTCGTAATTAAGCCAAATCTTCTTTCTACTTGCCTTCCTTCACCCCATTTTCCGCCTTTGTATTGGTTTTACATGTGTGTTTCCCAATCAGCCAGAGTATTATGATTCATTTTAGTGCCTTTTCCTTCTTCAATAAAAAATCATTTATTGAAAAAATCAAATTACTCGTTCGATTCTACAGGTAATCCCAACACTGTTCGAATTCGAGAAGCCAGATCCATTTCCGATCTGAAGAACCATTTTGCAACGAGACGAGAGAGGGCGTGGTGGAGTGGGAGGGGCATTACTCGTATACAACTCAGAAGGAACCAAAATGTAGGCGACCAATCCTGAGAAATGAAAAAAATTATATCTCATCTGAATTCGGCGATTTTTGATATTCACCTTTTCGTGTCTATCTAAATTTTGTAGTACAGCGAAAATCTCTTCCTTGTGAGTCAGTTGGTGGAATGTGGAATGGAAAAATAAGTCAACAAGGCGTATGATATCTCGGAAATCTTCGTTCTGAAAATATAATTGAGAATTAGACTGTAATTTTAATCTTTTTATAATGGTACAAAAAAGTGGAGCAGTGGAAGAGAAACGCCGGTGGTCGTCGCCGACGGTCCAACAATGACAACTACCGTAACCTCTAAACTATTTTATTCTCCGTATTTACTTTCTCCATTTTCATGATTTTCACTGATTTTCTCCGATTTAACTGTCATTTTTCACAAAAAAAATCAGAAAATATAAAAAAAGTAGATTGTAAAAAATTGACTGAAAACGAACAGAAATCGAGATAACGAATCCGGAAAATCAGAATATTTTTACATTACGGTAGTTGTCGTTGTGGGCCCTTAGGCCGCAGCTCCGACTTTTTTGTACCAGACTAATATTCTAATGTTTTACCTCTAGTTGTCTATTAATAGTTGAAATTGAAAGACCCTTTTTGACTTGATCCAAATACCAGAAATGAGTTTTCTCATGATCCTCATCATTGAGTTGCGCATCCAATAATTGCTCATCGAATAATTTATTCTCTGCCAACGGACTTCCACATACGATCTTCAATCGATAGTTATCTTCTATTTCGAAATCTACAGAAGAGTACATCTTCTGGAGAGTTATTCTCATTGCTGTGTAGACAATCTGAAAATTGAACATCTAAAAGTTTCGATGATTATTCACAAATACCGTATTTCCTCTAATAGAAGCACACCCAATCCGTCAACTTGGAGCTCAATTATCTCGATTCTTGTCAAAGATATCAAACTTTTGTTAGCTGATAAACTATTTATCATAGCATCACCAATACTTTATCAGTTGAGAGATTTTCGATATCTTACATAGGAATCGATATAATTGAGCTTTAATTTAATTTGTTTATTGATCAGGTGTAATAAAACATTATGGGCAGGACATGAAAGACTCAGAAAAAATGCCCCTCACGAGGCCGATCTGAGTAGGGGAGGGGAAACGGGATAATTTAGATATTTGACACAGGAAAGATGTAACCGGTAGAAAAAGAAAAATAGGGAGCAAATATATCAATAACGGGTAAAGAGCTACAACGTTGACAGTTTGGGAGGGCTTCTATTAGAGAGGAAAAATGGTATATACGTTTAGAGGGGAAATATGGTATACATATACGTACCTTTGGAACTTTGCCGTAAAGTCTGGATTCTGGTTTACTGATAAACTTCTGATTATAGCTGACGTACTCAGAAATGAATGTCATTTTCTGTTTGGGAATAATCATGCCTCCATTGTTCCTGATTTGTAGCTAAATTTGAAATTCATAGAACTTGATCCCTGAAACTCCACAAACCCTAAACTTGTGCAATGTCTCTACTTGTTCCTTGCTCTGAACCGCTTTGGCTCTTCGACTCCGTACCGTATTCACTGCTTGACTAGGTGACATTCCCAATGCGAACATCATCCAAGCAGCTATCACCATTCCAGTCCTTCCGTGTCCCGCATGACAATGAACAGCTATTTTCCCATTCGCCAATGCGAAATCAACAACTTTTACAATGTCCAGAAGACGATTTGATGTGCATGCTTGGAAGTCAGGTAGAGGGAAATTGTAGTGGTATACTGTAACTGATTGTTAATACCCATTAAAAAAAATAGTAAAACTCACTTCCATTCTTCATCAAAATCTCAGGATCATAGCTAAATCCACTCGCCAGATTACCACTTCCACAGAATGAATGCTCTCCACTCTCTTGAAGATTAATCACCGATTGTATTTCATTTCTAAAGAATTCTTATTTAATATCACCATCTATTCATAACCACTCAAAACAACTCACATCTTGAATTGCTCCACAATTCCCATCTTCTCAAAATGCTCTTCTTGAAGACGTGACATAGCAAGAATATCAGGAGTGATCCACGTGGAATACAAACCATCAATAGCTTGAGTTTCAGATTTTCCAGGAGTTACTACACAAAATCTGCATCGAGGACCGCTACAGTATAATCGACACTTTTGATCACCGGGGGTTAAACTGAGAATACCAGTACGTATGGATGAATATGTTGCAGATGCTAAAATAAACTAATTATAATAACTATCCGAATGACTCACCTTTCTCATCAGCTTCTAATTGATAACCTCCATTCTCACCGGAAAACCATAGCTTTGGCATTTCAAAGAGTGTAGAGAAATTCTTCTCTTCTCCTTTCCAGTCAGCTTCTGATTAAATTATGTGGAGACTCATTTTTTTCTTCTTCATCTCTCGGAAAAAAGATTCATGAGAAAATGGGGCGGAGGAAGACGATGTTAGTGTATGTGTGTTGAGCATATGATGAAGAAGAAAAAAAAAGGAAAAAGTATCTATGGCAACGCTTATAGCAAGAAAAAGAATAGAAAGAGTCGTCGTCGGGAAATTCGAGAAAACGAGAGAGACACACACGTTTTTCAACGCCAACGACTTCCGGTGAACATCCACTTTGCTTCTGCTTCGACAAGTTTTTTATTTACTTCTGGAGAATGTTTTTATTAGGGTTCGATGATTGAAGAAGTGAGGGGAATATAAATACATTAATGATTCAAGACTCATGCGTCAGAATTGCTAGTCGGCATCGTCATGACTCATCAATGAGTTCGCAAGTTTTCCAGTTAGTCTTCTGCGACACGGTCGCTATCATATACATCGACACCATCGAGGTTTAATTATACAATAACGGTCAATAAGATATCTAAGATATCTTTTTCAGTTGATTTTGACCATTTTCAGGAGTTGCCGATTCACTGAATATTTTGAAAAAAAAAAAAAAGAAAACTTGCCGATTCACTGAATATTTTGAAAATTCCTAGTTTTTCAGCTATTTGAGTCATGACTGAAATAAATCTGGTTTTGAGTTTAATTTCAAAAAGAGGTTACCAGGTAGCAATAGAAAACAGACTATTCCAAACTCCAAGAACCCAGATTGAAGTGTTGAAGGAGGACTCAAAAATGTGTTTTTTCAGAAAAATTTGTTGAACAATATTTTAATATTTTTTATTCACATTAAAAAAAAAACGGAACAACCTCGGAAGTCTGTTTCTGAAAATTTCTAAATCCAAATTCTTTTGAATTCCCATCAAATCTGAAATTCTAGCCTCGCTGCAGAAAAAGTACCGGAAGTTAAAAAAAGATCCAAACCTACGAGAAGATTTAATAAGGTTACATTCAGATTCAGATTTCAGGTTCAATCGACCGTTCACATTTCCAATCAAATCTAGAGTTTGATCATTTGGTAAGGTGATGCCGAATACTTAAGAATCAACCCGTTGCTGATTTTGAATTCAAATTATATAAGATATTTTGTTTTTTCCCACACTTTCCTTTCAGAACTCGGTTCGAATATATTATGAATCTCAAAGTATTATAAACACTCGAATCGAATGACCTCAATAACAGTCAACTTTGATCAAATTTATCTCGGTTCCTGTGGAAGATATAAAAATGTTATCAACTGACAAAATATTCTTGATATTACAATAAACAATTTGTTCGTTGATTACTTTTCATATCTTTGGATGGAAATGAGATGTATAGGCACCAAGTCGAGGTTTTGGGGGGGGGGGGGCGCTCTAAAAAAAAGGCGCTCCAAATTTTTTACAGTAGTTCGCAAATTGCAATGTAAAAAATACAAGAAAATTGAACCAATTAATGTCACACCATTTTTTTTCGGTAACTAACAAAGCTGAAAAGATTTCAGTTAATCAATGACCTGAATTGAACTTCTATTTTCTTCTGAATTTTTAATAACTGATTATGTTTTCGTGCCTGTTTAAGAATACGTCGTTGATAAAATAAAATAATTCAAAAGTAAACGTTAATTTTTTAAAAATAATTCCGACATCGATCGAAACAACCTAATCTCTAACTTTTTGAACCATTGCTTCTGTTTCCCGAAGTTCATGAACATCTTGCAACTGAATGCTATCATCCGTGTGAACATCGTCTAGGTTGACACCTTTCGATTCTTGCTGAATTGGAAACTTATTTATTTTATAACAAATTATTTAATACTCACCAAGAAAAAGTAAGAGACTAGCAGGTTTGATGTTCCGAGAACCATGACAGTGGTACTCACTGAATACGGCCACCATAAATTCGCATTCGTGAGGATTGGAGCCAAAATCATTCCGACTCGAGCTGCCAGTGAGCATGAACCAGTGGCACTGGCTCTGGATGGCGTCTCAACCAGTTCAACAGCACACAGATAACATGCATCCCAAGTGTATTCAATGAATACTGTTCCAATTAGATACGTTACTAGAACAGCCACACCCTGAAAAAATTCTATCGTTTTTGTTCAAGCAAATAAGCTTACATGATAATCGGACATAGTATAACATGCCATGATAACGACGCAGATAAGTGTTCCAATTAGAGATCCTTGGTGAAGTGTTCTTCTTTTGAAATTGTGAAAATTGGTATCCACATAAAGTAGTAACATTTTGGAAAACACGAGAAGGATTCCAAAAAGCATCTGATTTAAGTACAAATCTCCAGACAATTTTCCAGAATTCAGATCAATTGCTCCACCACAAATGGCCACTATAAACCACATGGACCATAACACTGATAACGTTTTGAACATTCCTTTCGTCTTCAGAGTCTCTATCAATCCTTTCGGACGAAGAACTTTATGTTCTACTGGGGCATACGGAATGCCTGCCACACGAGCAATGTGCATTTCACTTTGAATCATTCTCGACTTGAATCCTTTGCTGTGAAGCCAAACTGGAGATTCTGGGATCACAAAAATGACCAAGAGTAGAGCAGGAACCAAAGTAATAGCTGTTGTGAAAGAGGCAAGTCGCCATTCTCGAGTGAAATAACAGACTACAGTCAAAGCGATCCTGGTCCATCCCCAATTGAAACATCCACGTACAACCATTCGTTGTTGTGGTAGAATCACTTCCATAATCCAAGCACACAAAACGACAAGCATTCCACCAATTGAAAGACCAACGAAGAATCTATAAAACAATTTGATGATTGAATTTCAATATAGAAAGACCTTTAAGTAAAAACTATACCTCAATACAAATAATACAGTAGCTGTTGGAGCCAATCCACTGGCAAAAGTAGAACATATTCCATTGGAAATCACCAAAATTCCAATAGGTTTTCTTCCAAATCGATCAGAAAGTGTTCCAAAAAATAGTGTACCGACTAGAAGTCCGGCGAATTGAATTTGGGAGAAAAATGCCTGATTCCAGGTAGACAATCCACATATCCAGTTAAGTCTGTGATGAAATCGGAAGTTAAAAAAAGGAATCCGACCAAAAATTTTTATTGCATAAACATTTCGAAAAATTATGTGTTTACCTAATAAAATTCGAGAAAAATTCGAGATCCCCGGAAAACGCCGTTCAAAGGGAAATTTCGCTGAAAAGGTGGCGAACAGGGACGAGTTTTTGAGTTCCCGCGAAGCGAGAAACCTAGGCCACTGCGACAAGACGCCTTTTTTACAAGGCAATTTTCCGCTTTTATCTCCGCATTCATGACGTAAAAAAACAACTGTCGGTCAATTTAAACAAAGCCGTCCGGACGCCGTTGCCTAACTAGGTCTAGAGTTCTCACTGGGCGGGAATTCAAACCCTTGTCCCTTTTCGCAACTTTTCAAAGCAATTGTTCTTCTTTCAACTGCAGGGCCTTCAGGGCCTTCGTTTTTTTCCGATTTTTTCCGCAATAATTTTACAAAAATACATAACTTTTCAAAAATCTTATTGCAATAAAAATGTTTTTTCGAAGTCTATATTCAAATTTCGAGAAAAAAAGAAGAATATCTTACTCCATGGCGGCTGAGTTGAACGGTGGATCGACAAATGTTAAATTACTTCTGCAGGAAGTATAAATTTGACAGTCACTAGTTGGTTCTGAATTTCCACATCTCCATTTCGGAACATTGTTTGAATAGATTCCGAATATATTCTGTCCAGCAAAATAGTTGGCAAACTGCCAAGTTATGAAAGCCAAAATGTGAAACCGATTTATGTCATACCACATAATCGATGGGCAATAAAATACAATATAAGTCTTTGAAAAAAGATTGTAATTTGTCAACTGTCAGAATTCATTATCTTCTCTTCTTTCAATTGATCTATGATAGTCAATGCCTGTGAAAACTTAGTTCAAAGGCCCAAGGTTTTCATCATTTAAAAATTGGTGTGTTGATTTTGTATTATTGAAAATTGAATGTTCATAAGGAATTTATAAAAGTAAGGAATTTATTCAGACTCGTAGTACATCGGAATTAACTTTTTTGAGCAATTATTGACTGACTAGACTTTCAAAAAAATACATCTATCTACAAATCAGAGTGAGACTTGTGCATTGGCATGTAGTCTATCTTTTGTAATTCCTCCAAGTGTGCTGCTTGTTTTGTCAACTCTGGATAGTCAGTGAGGATCGGAATATGAAGTGTCTTCAGCATCCAGTGCATTTCGGCCATATCATTGACTGTCCACACGGCCACACGCATACCGCGTCTTTTTTGGTCCAATATCAGCGCTCTGGAGAAATAATAGGTCAATTACAATCGGGAATCAAACATCTTTGTTTCAACTCACTGTGAAATATCCAAATTGTTCGTTAGAAGAAGATCAGCTCCGAGATACCACGGAGTGACTCTTTTCAGCAACCAAACGTGAGCTACATCGATAATTTCAAAGAGCATTTGCTTGAACCCAAAATATCTAGGCCGAATATTCTCGATGTCGTGGTATGACCAGAACTTCAGACGCCATGTCAGTCCAGTAAGAATCTTTTGATCTCCTCTCTTGATACGGTAAACGACCCATGGGAAGAAGCTACAAACGATCGCTTTGTCGTAGAGATTGTATTTCGAGAAGAGATTCGAAATCTGATCAACGAGCTCGTTATCCGAATCCTTAACGTCAAACAGCATTCGAGTATTATTCTCCACTGCCCATCTAACAACATCTTCCATGTCAGGGACTCTTTCACGTGCTACAGAAGCCAGACGGCTTTGATCTCTGAAAAATTAATTGGAAACATACAATAATTGAGTTGAAAAATCAACTAACCCTGGAGCAGTTCTAATGAAAGTGGCTGAAATGTTGCAGCGATCGAGTTCAGCACGAGTCTTATTCCTAATTGGTCCAGTCATATCTGTAGTTCTATCCAAATCATCGTCATGCATCAACACAGCTTTTCCGTCTTTCGTCAATGCTACGTCGAACTCTATGAGATCAGCTCCGTCAGCTTTGGCTTGTGCGAATCCGGCCATACTGTTCTCCGGGAAACTCTTTGGAGCTCCACGATGTCCACCGATTTTGAATCCCGAGAAAAATGTCTCAACCTGCAAAACTTAAACAGTTACTTAGCTTTTAAATTGTTGAACTCACATCTGTACTTGAGCATTTCTCGTTTTTTGTGGTGTAAGCGAAGATAAAAAGGGATAGTGGAATAAGAAGCAGTCCTGGTGGATAGATGACGTAAATTGCTGCGATGACGGCGATCGAAACTCCGAGAATTTTCGGTGCCGACTCTTCTAAACTGAATCCAGCCATCCTGTGAAAGAATCCGGACAATTACCTGCAAAAATGATTATTCGAAAGAAATACAGAAAAATGGGGCAGTCGCTCGTGAAGAAAAATTCCATAGGAATCGAGACAAAAACTGGAACTGAATAAATGATAAATGTGTTAACCTACATTTTTCTTATCAATTTTAATCGTAAAATTGTGTGCGATAAGTCTAAAAATGTTGGAAAAGAGAAAAAAATTGGGAAGCGAATGCCGAAAGTTGGCGAAGAGACAACATCGGAGAGAAGAGACGCAGACAGGGGGAGATGGGACGGGATGAATAGGTCAGAGAACGAACACTGGAAAAATGGACATCGAAGAAAATGGAATATTATTAAATACGAAAAAAAGGCAAAACTAATAAATGAGAATATTGTTAAATATGGGAATACTCCAGATGGAAAGTATATTTCTTTTTATGCCTGTAATAATATGACGGGTTCATATTACTCGATTTGTTCAGACGAAAATTTGAAAAAAAACGAAGTTGAACTATTTACTTATGATCCAGCATCAATTCGACCTGGTTTTTCGATATAAACTTCTATGTGCACAAATATGGAAACGGTTGAATTGATATGTTCAAAGAATGCTTCTGAAAATTGTTTCCCTGAAAATAAAGGAGACCGGACAAATGGCCCATTTCCGTTGATCCGCATATTTCTTCATTCGGTTTTTTACATTTTTCAATATGCCCCTTGGGAATCGAAGAGGACAAACACATATTCCATCCGCTTCTTTATGTTCTCCTTTACGCTACTATTATGGTTGGCTTCATGAAACCGGAATTATCATTTTTTGAAGAAAATTTCGTAAAAGAAAACAGAAGAGATCGTTGTTCTGTATTTTTCTTGATTTTTCTTGGTTTTATTTCTTCATTCAGTTCGGAGTTCTTTATCAGACACAACTCTATGAAAGCTCCATTTGAAAACAACAATGATTGCCTTGAGGTCCACAAACGTGGATAACAACCCCAAGTAAGCCATATCGATATCCTAATGCAAATCTGGCCCTAATCGAACGATTATGAGCCTCCGTTTCACAAAAGAAGTCCGCAAACTTTTCTGTAACACGTGAGCAAACCCAATACCACCATCATTTTTTCGCCCCTCTCGAGATCCAAAACACGAAGCTTGTCGGATCGTCAAAAGCATTCAGTTACGTGCAAAGCACTCGTCTCGATCTCATCATTATTCACCTAATTTATACGAAAACCTTTGCCCTGTTTCTTCTACACTCCCTTCTTATTACTCATTCATTTGGACCACAATTTCATATTTTTCTCTCTCATTTCATTTGATTCGTTTTCTTCTTGGGGTCCTCATTCTCCAAATGATGAATTGTTTCTGATTTTCAAAAAGAACAGTTGGCAGCTTCAATAGAAAAATAGTGATGGAGTGACAATCATCTAGGTGATAAGTGGGAATGTTATCACTTGTTTATTAGAGATCCCAGAATTGATTCGGTTCGGTTAGTGGGAAAGTTTAACCCAGCGATTCAGGGTTTTTAAAAATTATAATCCTAGAAACGTTCTACCCATTTTCCAGCAATTTCAAATTTAAGATTTCAAGCTTTTTCTCTGAAACATTTTCATTAATTCTTCATTTATCTAAACACATCTAGTTTGACTTCTGCTCTTCTTCTCTTCTCTTCCCAAATTTATCGTTGATAATTACCAAATGAATTATGTAAAACTTTATGAATAATGAACGAACTCATGTGACCTACCTCCCTGCTCATCCATGTCTGGAAGTAAAATTTTAAGAGATGTTTCGAGTTTTCAATTTCTCTCCACAGATCTCTGATCTTCATGGTCTTCCCCAAAAGAGCCAACATTTTTTTAATATGAGTTGGTCATTGATTTTTGTGTTGAGAAATTTTCATTAAACTTTTTTTTCATTTCAATGAGATGTCCTTGCGATCCTTGACCGTTCACTGATTACGTATTCCATAAAACATCGGAATACTTTTCGTCTTGGACCCCAAAATGAAGTCTTTCCGAAAATAAAAGCATTGTTCATTTTTTATTGGAATTCTCAACTTTCTCTGTCATCCCACTACTCTTGTATTTTTCTCAAGAATGCGTGCAGTTTTCCAAAAAATAGAAACTCTTTCTTCTGCCATATTTACCCACCCGAAAAACTCTAATAAAGCCAGTTGCCCGTTGGCCCCATTCCATCGTATAAATACTTCAGTCTTTGACCGAAAACGGAGTATTTGTATAACACCCAAAAATAAGAGGAATAAGAAAACCACATTTCTATTGTACTTAATAATTGCAATTATCGAGATTCAATTATTACTCAATGAGTGGGATGATGAAAAGTGTATGCATTCTAGAAATATTTTCACCATGGAAGCATGTTCTCTACAGTATGTTCTCCAAATGATTCCCCACAGAGATTTCCGGATTCCGTATTTTGTTTTCTTGATTCCATGCTTTTGTTCACTCCGGAGCTCGTGAATTTTTTCTCTAGATTATGCTTTCCGGGCTCCGATGAATTTTTTTGCCTGAATTCTGCCTTCCGGATTTCGAGAAAAATGGTTCATTCCGAATTTTTACAAAAATATGATTTTGCAAGAGTCCTCTACCACGTGGATTCCGAATTCTGTATTTCGAAAAACTTATTTTATTTCGCTATCCGTATTCCAGATCCCGCTTCTCGAAAAAGCTATCCCGGACATCTCTGATTCACAAATATGAATTCCCTCATCTTGACCACTCATCAGACTAATTATCCAACCAAGTCTTCTAGAAATAATCTAAATGCTAATTTTGAGACTATGTTTCTCAGTTTCCTTGTTTCATTGCGAAGAAGCCCTGATCTTTTAGTTTTACAATATTCTTTTTTCTCTTTATTTCCTTCTCAAATGTTTCCATTGCACTCACGTCATCCCAATCTGATGAATTTGCATATTGACGACTACTCTTTCCTGAAACAAATCTTTCGTTTTTCCTAGAACATTTTGAGACAAGATCGGTCTCCCAAAAACGAGGAAAATCAAATTGAGCTCTGACATATTTTTCCTTTTCTTCCGTTCTCTTCCCAAAAATAGAGTCAAGTGATCATCGTGATGACATACATATTCCGCTTGCACTTCTACTCTTACTTTTTTCACTCGGAAACAATACATTTCTTTCTTCTGCTAGATTTCTACTCTCCCAGAGAAGAAACACCACTAAAAGTCTCTCGTTTTTATTAGATGATCTCCGATGTTGTAATACTGATTGCATTTTTTGGCGGAGAAACTAGTGAAAGACTACTGAAGCCCTAATTTTCGTTCTATTCATTTAATTGAATCAATTCTGAACTTTAATTGTGTAAGGTTGAACTATCAAAGCTGGCTAGCCGGTCATACTATTTCTGGAGGCATAGTCGTGATTCTAACATCAAATTCTGAATGGAGGCGTTTGTTTGTTTTATACTCACGACTTCTACATTAGTTATCCTTGCTTGATCTTGTTCTCTACTGATCAACTGAAAATCAAGCGGAAAGTTCACTAGTAAACTTGACAACAAAGATTAAAGATTTGGTTGAAAAATGTTTCTGGTGTCTTTTCACCTGTTTCTGACTCTTCATTTGAAATCTCCCCTCTGAACCCTTTTTTCGTAACTCAATTTTTCGGACATGAACCAAATCATCGAATGAAAATTGTAGTTTGATGCCAAGAAAACTAAATGCAAGCACAGTTTTTCGACGACATAATTCGTGTTTGTGTTTTCAACTGAAAATTGTGTCTTTCAGTTGTACGAAAAAGCAATTAGCGGTTTATTATAATTCTCAAATTCGGAGCCTGTGTCTCTGAAGTTATTTTTTACAATCCAAAATTTGAAAAGTGTGAATATTAAAAACTAGAATTTGCATGATAATGGCCGTTCGGCTGTGTCTTTTCTCGTACTTCCTCATTCGAGTTTCAAGTGCCTGCTTTCTTTTTTCCTATTTTTTTTTCAATTCCAAATCACACTTTTCAACCTTAAGGGGGAATTTCAACCTCCAGATTTTTCCATATCAGTTCCTTATTTTTCCCCAACGTCATCTAAAATTTTAGAACCCTCCTACATAATTTTTCTTCCTCATTTCTCTATCATTTTTTCTCCGACTTGCAACATAGTGATGAGTGACCCTTCTGCTATTCTGAATTTTTAATTCTACCAAGACCTGAATGTTGCACACTCGTTTTTTAGAATTTTTAGCTCATTCCTAGACTTTCATTGCCACTAAAGCGCCGCGGGATCAGAGAGATCCAGGTGAAATTCATTGAAGTTTGTGCGTCTTAAAATGATATTTTCAATTTGAAATATCAAAGGTTTTACGTTTTTGATGCCTGAATCAACATAAATTAGTGTTACTGCATTGTCAGGTTGAATTACTAGTAACTACATGAAAACTAGAATTAAGAAAAATCTAAAAGGATCTGAAGTTCACATTAACCAAAGATTAACGAATACCATCATCTTGATCATCCCAATTCTGAAAATTATAACTCTCATAAGGTTTTTCTTTCAGCATATTTGCGGTTGCTCCTTGAGCACCATGATGTTTCACACCTTTTTGATAAATATCCCCCTCTTTCATCCACGTCATCAACAACATATTTTTTTCCATCTTAAATAGTCTTCCAATATTTCGCCCCTATAAAATAAAATAAAAACAAATTCTGAACATCGAAGATCCTTTAAGGGTAAGCAACTCCTCTCTCGATGGTTTGTTTTCAGACGTCTCTCACTCTCAATCATCTCAGAAGTCTTAGTTACAAATGCATGCGATTCCCATTGTTTATTATCGGAAACCGTTCCAATATTTTTACCGAGTTTCAGACGGGCAGGACGGATTAACTTCACTTTTCTTTGAATCCACTCAAATTTCAGCGTTCTCTTCCAGGCCATTTTTTTCTTTTGAAAAATATCTTCATGCTCCAAGTACACTCAATACATGTATCTCAAATTGCTTTTTGAAAACCGGTTTACTCTGTCTAGTCATTC